TGTTAGTGAGATATTAATAACTATTATTTAATAATTATATCTCTCAGATAAAATATTCTTATGTAGAACTGGGGCATTATTGAAAAATCTCTCTATGTATAATCTATTTACTAAAAATATTCTTGCATTATAAAAAGTACAATTTCCTCTTGAGACTTACTTAATATATTAAAAATAACTGCTATAAGAATAAAATAAAATGTAGAATCAAATTATATATGCATATCATACTTTTACTCTGTATTTCATTATAATTATATTGTATGATATTCTAACTAAAATAAAAAAAAAATGATAGCGTTTATAATAAATGAATATATTTGATATATATGTATATCGGAAAAAAAAAGAAAATAGGAAATCCTTATGCTTGTAATAAATTTTTAAATTATTATTCTGCATTGGTTCGTCTTTAATTTTTATGTGCTAAAAATTTACAAACTTTTATAGGTCGCTGATTATCTGCTGTACGCTTTGACCTATAGATTGCAAGTATTTTGATCGCAAAACATTATCAGTATTAATACAAAACATAAAATATGTAATGCGATGCTCTCACTCTTTCGGACAACAGCAGTTACATAATTACATAATTAATAAAATAATAAAAATAATATACTGCGGAAAAACATCAAGTTTCATCAATCTGCAATTATATAAATTAAAAAGAAAAAATCTGAGGCTATTTATATTTTCAAAATTTGAGTCATCTATTATTATATAAATCTGACTTGTATAAAATTTTTTTTTGTAACAGGCCGCGATACTTATCTTGTGTTTCTTATTTGCTCTTCTATTCTTTTGGAGTTATTTTTCTTTATTATTCAATATTATACCGATTAGTATACGATTTCTTCTTAGAGAAACCTTAGTCGAAACCTATTCAGTTTCTCTCTTAATATATTTGATTTGCATCAACCTTTTCGTTTGATACCATTAAAAAAGTCGTAAGTATCTCATTCTTTAAATATACCTCTTCTGTTATCGGTATGATTATGTAAAAAAGTGTTTTGACTGCGGCCAGTTGAAAGCACTGTGTAAGAGATATACATCTGTTATCTCACGCGCACGTCAGCATGTGAACAAACGAAGATAGCCTACATACGATGATTCGATAACACATACGGGTAATATAGAATTGTATCAATGAGAAGAAAAACAATAATGGTGAAAATATTGTCAAATTCGTACGCGGTATCGATTCTTATCATTGTACCACATTATGCAACTGTGTGCGATATTTCGGTGATAGAAATTGGACAAGAAATGTTATCACGTATATGTCAAGGGATATACAGAGTGGGCCCAAACGTTCCGGCCAGACTTTCAGATTTTATAAGAAATTTAATTCTGAACAAAAAGTTTCCTATAAACATAGATCGAAAAATGCTTTCTTAAAAAGTTAACGCCCAAAAATCTCTGAAATCACGGTTATTTTATACATTTTTATAAATATTAAGGAAAATATGCAAAATATGCGTTTTTTAACAAAAAGTACTGAAACACAAGTTGTAGAGAATTAAATTATCTTTCAAATGAGATCAAAATGATATAAAATAGAACTAAGAAATTGAGTTAGACAAAACGTGCCACCTGGATGAGTATGCGTAATATTTTATACCTTATACATTCAATTTTACTAATTCTGAGCAGAAACCTTACAATTTATACATATATATATATATATATATATATATATGCTATTTTATATATCTATCATTTAGTATTATGTAACTATACGATTGAATTGCCTTTTCGGAAATTCAAATATTTTTCAGATTCATATATCATTACCACTACATTTTTCTTTTGTCTTATGCATTACCTTGTATAGTCATCGACGTGCCGCATATTCCAGGGCGAGCTCCGGTTCGAAGTGACCGCATATGGCAATGAAAGTTTTTGGGTAATTACGAAATACAATTCGTCGAATCATTCTGATCTCTCATGCACCATTCATCAAGGTAAAACGCGTTGAGAGAAGAAAAAAGATGAATATTAGAATGTTAATTGTGCATCTTATGTCTCTGGCAACTTTGCCATCGTAAAGCCCTCCGAAGTTCTTCGGACCTGCTCGACGCAGGACGAATTTCCTAGGGCTACTTAACCTGCGCCAACACGTATTTCCCATGCATTTTAAGGATTTCGGACTATAGGGGCGATGTTTTGTCGAAGTATGAGCACGTAGTTGCCGTGAAAGGATCATAGAGTGGACTTAGCTGCAGAATCCCGTGTAAAACTTGCTCGGAATAACAAAGTTCCGCGTCTCGGGGGCACCGATGCTGCGCGCTTTTCTCGTGGTCAGATTCTTTATTTTTCCCGAAGAGCTCTCTATTATGACGTTCGACCTCGTCGGCCGATTTATACTCTCGTTATTGGCAGACTCTCGTTTAACGCTTTACGGCCGCAAAAACCTCGCACATCTATTAGCTTTAATATTGAAATTTACAATAGTGAAACACATTAAAATATGAGAGGATATATTTACAGACATTTTCGCAACATTAGATATTTGCTGGATAATATGTAATTATTTAAAAAAAAAATTAACTCTCTAATTATTTAAAATAATACAATAATCAGTGATATCTGTGATATTTTATTAAATATATATTGCACTTCTTTCATTATGTATATTGAGATAACTTTGCGAATACTGATTGTATATTTATTTTACTATATTTTATTATATATTTATTTCGATAATTAGTGAATTGATTAAAATATCCATGGCGAGGATACTCAATAATTTCGTCCATTTGTAAAATCTATATGCTCGCTATTAGCCGATAATGATATGGTGCGCGCAATGCTGTAATTGTTTAAAGGGCAATTTAAATGCGGACCGAATCTCGTTAAATTGCCTGTAATAAAACTGTATGTGCGAACAATGTACCGGCTGTTTTCTGGCAGGATGTGCCGCGCATCATGGTCGTTATCGCGATCTAAAATGGTCTCTCGCAGTGCGTTTTATCTGCGACCCGCTAAGTCCGGACTTCCGCAATTTCGAAACAACGGGCACGATGGGCGTTGTCGCGTTTTTCTCGAATCGCACACTGCTTACGATTGTTAATGCTTGAGAGATGAATATTTTAAGATCACTTTAAACAATGAGATAAAAGAGTGCACGATGGGCGTTGTCGCGTTTTTCTCGAATCGCACACTGCTTACGATTGTTAATGCTTGAGAGATGAATATTTTAAGATCACTTATTTAAACAATGAGATAAAAGAGCAATTAATCTGAAATTAGGATAATAATATTGTATATACCTATATATATCTTTTATACACAGCTTCTATATTATATCTAGACTGTTAGAACAGCGATGTGACAGGCAGCCATTTACAATTGGGCAAAATATTACCAGGCTATTAATCCATACTTATTTTTGGAGGGAAAGCTTCACCTGTCACATCGCTATTAGCAGTCATATATAGAAATCTGTGTTTTTATTTTGATATTATCTTTCTTTTAACGAGATGTGTTTCTAATCGAAAAGAGAAGATTGTTTCGCGTTGCAGCGAATGTTTAGATTGACTCAGACGCGGATTAATAAACATACCATCGTGTCGTTAGCCTCGTTAAAACCGAGTTTAAAGTTATGTAACGCGTACGCGCCGTTTCGCACTCACATTTAGACGGCACGTGCATGCACGAGAGAGTACGGTTTTCTTGTAAGTGCATGCGAGTGTGTTGGATGTTGCATGCGAATCTTTAAATGATGCCCGACGCGGCGTGTAAATGCACCACAGTAATAATACATCTCGTCTGACGCGATTTAAACTTCATTACCGGTGCACGAACTCAGTCTCGTGAAAAAGACACGCCAGTTCCGCTCACGTGTCACAGCGTCACACGCTTTGTACACACGTGCATAGACGCCGCATTAAAAAACGAAACACCTGTCTCGTTCCCCCGCGAAAATCGTTCTATTAAAAGTAGCCAACAGTTATGTAAATTAAGAACTTATTTTAATATATCTCGATTTATTAACATCAATTTTCATTAAATTAATTAAATTTTATATATTTATAAGAAGGAAAAGAGACGTGTAGAGAGAAATTAAAAATATTAGACGTTAATTTTAATTTCAAATTTTGTTATAAATTTAATTTTGGAGAATAACTTTTCCTTTATTTTATTCGATTAAACTATACTTTGCTATAATCGTGAAAACGAATTTACTCACGTTATCCCGTTAATTGATCATTAATAAATGCACTTATATTTTTTATTTGTATAAGAAACGTCATACGCCTATGTAGGGTCTTTCTGGGCGGCATATTCAGTGTATTATTCATACTTACATTATAACGGAGACGCGCTTGCATAATCGGACGAACCGTACGTAACCTCCTGGACTCGTCAGATATTCACCCATAACGATACGTTATTTCGGTTGGCTTTTCTGGCTTATACCTCGCTATATGGTATGCTCAGTTCTCTATTTTCATCCCGTACGGGCAACGTCATTGACCCGCACTCGAATCCTGGGCAGTTTGCCGGTCGCGCGATTCTTACGGAATCACGACGCGCCGGCAGAATGGCTCGACGATCCTGAATTTATATCGTGTGTTTAGGTGAGAATTGGTTCTTTATGAGGGACACGTGAGGATACTTGGCGATATACACGCTCGAGGATCTCTTACACGTACGTGCCACTGCTGTTCGCGCGCGTGCGGGCACATATGGTTATCCGGCTTTCGGCGGGGCGTCCAACGAGATAGTGACTTATGAATTTGTCATAAAGCGAAAAAAATTGTAACAAATGCAGGGGATGTTCTCGAAACTATTTCAAACGCGAAAAAATCAGATTTCGAATTTAATGTTTTATAAAAAAAAGCTTATGAGGGTGCTTGTTCTCTGCAACGACGAAACGATTGAATAGATTAATTGGGACATTATATTTGCATATTATAATCGTTATCGAGATAAGAATAATCTTACCGATTTCTTTCAAAGATTCAAGATCTACAATTTTTATTGGTTTTTTTCAGGATGATGACCTGATTTTCGATCCGGAGGGTAAACAACCCGCGGTTCAAGCGCCAATGATCGAAACGCATCAGGACGAAACCCTTCTTCATAGGATAAAGAGAGGATTCTTCGATTTATTTTCCGCACCATCGACAACAACGCAAGCGTCGCCAGGTATTAATTTTTTCTTAATAAAATGTAATTAGAAGAAACTAAATCCGCACCGTTATATTATTTTGTAAATTTTCTATCATATTAAAATATATTGTTGAAAATATTTACATTAGTCTAATTTTTCGATTGTTCAATTCCATTCCAAAAAGAAGATCAAGATCAAGATCAAACATTTGACAACTCGGTCATCTTAAACGGCCATCTCGGTGGAAATGAAGGAAATCATACTCTCGATCAACCTGAAACACCAAGTGCCGAAACGAGTATTGGTATCGAAAGGTTGACCCTTGAAAAGGACGAGGACAACGACGAAGAAGACGACGAAGTATGAAAAATTCTTTTAAAAATATTTTACTTTTTATTATCTCATCTGTTTATCGTGTTTAATTAGATTGTGTGATATTTTTTATCTAGAAAATGCTACTATAACATGATAATAATATTATACGTTATAACAAGATTTATATATATAAACGTTTGTGCTTTTAGATTTTCTTCAAATGATTCACATTTATTTATCTCCATGAAAATATTATTTATATGAAAATATTATTCTTTTTATAGCATGATAATGAGATAAGCAACGTCGCGGAAAGTCAAAGAATACCGATAACATATGGGAATTCCGATGACGAAGATTTGGCCGGTTCAGGAGAGCTCGAAGGCAGCGCGAACGAAGAGAGAGAAGAATTGGGCCATCATCCAAACATAATAAACCAACATCACAATGTTGACGGAAAAGCACGTAAGTTTCTAATTTTGTATAGATCCAAAAAACTAAAAAACTAAAAGAGAATTGTTGTAACAGTTTATTTATTGCACACATAACATTTTATTAATATAGAAATCAAAAACTTTCCAAAAGAAATTATTTCGATATTCTCATAATATCGAAGCAAGAAATTGGCAGCTTTATCTTAAAATGTACCACTTACGCAATATAAAATAGATCGATCGAATCAAAGAATATTTATACATATTAATACTAATTGCATTATTTAATACAGAGCTGATTATTTAACACTGATTATTTAACGCTGATTATTTATTCAGATCAATTCTCGAAAAATTTATTATGTTCTCGAAATAAGTATACGTCCTTTTATATCAATTCTAGAATGTACATAAACGCAAAAACGAACTGAAAAAAACAAAAGCAATATTTTAATAGCATCACAGAGCATTCTTTATAATAAAAAAAAGCGTCATTGCGTATGCGTTTGTGTATGATTCATTTTTAAGGGATCGATTACTCATTACTAATTTTCTCTTTGATAGGATTTTACCGGATAACATTGACAGTCGGCGAGCCGTACAGACGAGAGTACTCTGACAGGAACAGTCCTGAATATCGAGAATTGAGTGGCAATCTCACGCATGCCCTCGAGAACTTGTACAATCGTTACATTCCGGGATACCATCATTTCGCCAGCGTCGTCAAGATATCGTGAGTATAATTATCTACTATTAATTTCGCCTTCGTATAATATTACTAAAATATCATATCTTTCTATTTTACTAAATAATTAAATTATGCTTGTAGACCAACTTCTGACGCATTTACGTCACAAGTTACCTTAGACATTGGTTCGACGTTCACGGACGAGCTTGAGGTGCGTGCCATCCTAGATCAACAGTTGCAGTATCATTCTTTAGACGGTATCCAAGTAGGTCCGGAGGGATTCACGTTCAGGATATTCCAAGGTATTTCCACATATGACTACCGCCTGACGACTCTGGAAATGATCGATTTCACGTTAAAGCTTTCGAGACTCAACTTCGTAATTTGTTTCAACTTTGCGCGATGCCGTGAGCTCTTGCGAAAAGTCTGAATACAATAAATGCGAAGATCTGGTGAATATCAAATGATCGACTTCTCAACGGTCGGAATTGATTAATGGCTATGCACAAAATATTATTTGCACGAAACAATCGCGAAGATAATATATCTAACATCGAAAGCTAAAATCGATCATTCCGGTTTAAAATGTTAAAACATTGATATGAGTAGATGCATGAAGAACGATATCTTTGTCTCAAATCGCTTGCAAGATTCATCTACAAGTTTTACAATATTTAATTACTTAATTAGATTTATCTTTTATTCAGTTTTTATTAAATTTACTATTATTATTTTCTTTTTATTTTAACTTCAAAATTTTTCTCGATTAATTTTCTTTTGTTCTCATTAAATATTCTTGTTTTAAATCTCCTTTAAAATAAACACGTTGGCGCCACGAACCACTTATTCTGCCTACTCCACGAATGCACACAAATACGACACACGACATCCGGATACAGCCAGGGAGAAGAGCGACCAGCCGGAATGCGATCAAACGGCCGAATTAAGATGTAGAAGCGGCGAATGTGTGCCGTTAGAATCGCGCTGCGACGGCATATTACAATGCAATGACGGTTCCGATGAGGATAATTGCCCGACAGATTCGCTAAATAGAACGAGCGAGGGTAAGTACGCAGGACTTGAATCCGCACTATGTAATCATCTTCTCGCGAGGAAAACGAAACTTTACAATAATACTTCTCAAACTCGCGGCTTGTTCATAGCGCTTATATGTAAAATACGCATTTTTATTCTCTTCTCTTAATGAAAGTCAGGATGTGTGGCCTATGTACAGATATACGGTACGTTATTACATAGCTGTAAACATAGCTTCATAGTAGATTTACTTTGCATGATTCATTTATAATTCTCTTAATTTATAATCAAGTACAAAATATCATTATATAGAATAATTTTGGAGACCAACAGATAGAGAGTGTTTTATATAAACTTTAAATTATTTATTGTATGTATGTTAAATGCGTGTTTTTCAACTCTGTTTAATTAACAAAGCACACACGGTATTTTACATTTAAGTAAGTTTTTGGAATATAATTAATATATATATATTTACAAAATTATAATATATAATTTAGAAGAATAAAAAAAATCAACACAAATATAATTAATGTAAAACGTAATATAATTATTA